GTACATAAAACTCGCCACCACAGAGGGAACATTGCAGATCTGATGCAATATCTAACTCTTGAATAAAAAATGCACAGGGCAGGCCCCCCTGCACTATGCTCAGGACTGAGCCTTACGCACCTTGCCTGCCTATTTCCCCGAGACGCTGCTGCCGAGTGTTTATACATTGACAGCAAAGTACAGAAAAAGCAAAGCCTCTGCAGCTATTCCCCGCAGTAAGCATTCGCCATACTAATGAAGCAGACACTGCAGAGATTGTCCACCTTCTAACATCACCCTGGCACAGCACTACATTTTCCACAAGGCTGAGACGTTCATTACGTCAGCAGGTGCCTCCAGGTGGGCAGGAGGTACGAGGGAGGGGATACAACAAGCCTCACTGACTCAGCATCTCCTGAAAAATCAGGCAGTTAAGCATTATGGCCTGCACCAGTCACGTACCCAGCCCTGGGTTACGCTGCAGAGTTTACTGCTGACAGTCTTAATTGACTAAAACCTCAGTGACACACGATGCAACACCACAGCACTGAGCCCGGGGTGTTCCCCTCTGGTCTGTCTGTAGGGTTGCAGTGCTGCACGCTGCGTCTGGCTCCGTTGTCACTTGGCTGCTGTTTCACCAAACCAAGTGGTAAACGGCACATGTAGGATAGTGCACTCCTCCAGAGCCCAAGTAAAAATCGTGCAGTGCACCCCTTCATTGTGAGGATGCATAAATTTTTAATAAAAAGATTTGTATCCTGCAGGGCAGCAGCCTGCAGGCTAGAACAGCAATTTACCTCTTGACACCCTAACTGCTTTTGCACAGGCAGGAAGATCAGCTTATTCCAAGAATCTTTCTGAGCAGCAGTATTTCTACATCTATGTGCAGTGAGACTCTGCCAGTGACTCAGCTCATGACTCCCCAAGGCAGCGTAAGTGGACGTGTCTTCTGTGGGGAAGGAGGAAGGAGGAAGATATGGACTCCACATTACATTGAAATGGATGGTGAGCACGCAGGGAACTTGGCATAAGAGAAAACAAAATAAAACTTCAAGCATGAAACATCAGTATCTCTCTGTAGTTATAGTTACAGACTAGAAAATGAATGTCATGGCGATACTGTATTAGGAGGTTTTATGCCTTTATGCAAATCTTAAGCTATTCTGGGACTCCGGAAATCTTGAATACAGCACGCATAACCCCATCTGAAAGTTGCAGAGCACTGGGGAAAGCTCCTAGAGGTTTCAATAAAACGTGAAACTGCTGTCAATTCCCTCAGTTTCTCCACTTCAAAACTCAAACAAAACCAATTAAACAAGGGCCAGTACATCTAAAACTGGTATCTCAGAGTCAAGACAGAACTAGAACCATCAACTTCTTAATTTCTTTTGTTTATAGATATGACATATGATTGGGCAGAGAAGATAGGAAGGAATTGAATGATAATTCCATAATAATAATTTTGGATCCAAGTTTGGATGACTTTGTAGTAATTTTGATTTCAAACTGATAGTTGACTTACAACAAGCTCAAGTAGCTTTTTAAATCTACTACTACTAAACTACTTTCTAAATCCACAACACATTTACATTAACCTCAAAATGACTCAAGGTGGAATCCTCCTAACCTAAGAGGAACAAAAATTTGAGCAAGCAGATGAGTCCCGACTTCTGGACAGCAGTTCTGGGAACTCACACACAGCTCCTTTTTTACTGCTCAAGTTGTTTTCTGAGAAAATTATTACCTAGGATGCCGACACAGAACTGTGTCCCTTCAGCAAAGGGACAGATCCTGCCTGATCCCAAGTTCCTCAACCCAGTGTCCTCCCCCCTCAGTGCTGTGCAAACCAAGAGGCAAAGGAGCCACGTCTTGCCATGGCTGGCCCCAGTCACTTCCTCCTTGAAAACAGATTCTGAAAGTCTACTTCAAAAATAAGACTTTAGGAAAGCCAGCTTACTTTTTTTTTTTTTTTTTTTTTTAAATTGCCAGAAGTCTGCAAAGGCACCACTGGGTACCACATTACCTCATAAAGATGTCAGCTTTTTAATGATTGCAGCCCTAAAGAGAAGGAACAAACAATAGAGCGCTTCCTTATATGTACACTGGCTCGGCACTGGTGACAGAGCCCGTTTCCCCAAATGGTCAAAAAAACTGAAGCAGCTCCACTGTGGTTTTTGAAAGAGAACTGCTCTAAAGCACATATCCCACTGCAATCCAAATGAAACTAAAACTCACCGTGGTGCCTACAAGGCTTCCTGGTATTAACATCAGCACATTGCACCATTTACTTAGCTTATAGGATATTTTCACAGTACAGCTTGCTGCAACACAGTGAGCTTCCTGTGCTGACTTTGCTAAACTGAACTAACAAAACCTTTGCACCAAACTGCACCTTGTGTTGAACATTTAAACATCTCTCAGCAAATTCCGGCTGCCGGCAACTTAGAGGCTCCATGCAAAGGCAGGAAGGGAGCTCAGGGGCCCCAATCCACTCGCCTTCGACTCCTGCATAAAGCCCGTGAGCACTGCAGAGACTGAGCGCAGCCTCCTGCTCCACGCTCCTACCACCAAAAAAGGAGATAGGAGAAAACAAAGCTCAACACCCTGCTCGCTCGGAGATCAACTCCCAGGCTGGCCGGCTCCAAAGATGATCGAGCCCACACCAGCCACACACACGGCACAGAAGGCACATTCCCTCTGCGTGTTAAACCTGAGCTGGTCACAGCTCAGTTTGGACACAGGTGTGAGACACTCGTGCTGCGCATCCAGCCCTGCCTCTAAGCACTCACCTGAGGCCCTTTGCAAAACAGTCCAGGAGAGATAAGGAGGAAAGTTACTCCTAATTTGGTTCTCTGCCATCGTTCTGATTACTTAATTCTAGCAAACTGTAATACCAAGAGTTATCCCTTGGTCAGTGCTGTGTTAAGTGCCGCTCTCCGACAGCTCTGTCACAGAATTTCCTGCTGCAGTTGTCAAAGGCCTCAGCAACTGGAAGACTGAGAGATGCGAGCGTTTCAGAGCCTCGTGCAGCTTGGTATCAAGTGCATTAGGGAATTGCAGCTCTATGTTCTTTTGGTTGAACGTGTCATGATCACTTCAGAATTTTAATTCCATTACTCTATAATGCGTGCTGCAAAAAATAGCTCTAGTGTCTGCTCATATTTGCAGGTACAAGTATAAGAAGCCAAGGCGTCAATCTCAAGAAAAAGAAATGAGGGCAGCTGATCCCATTGCCTGAAGAGCACCTTGTTCCACCAAAGTGAAGACCGTTGGCTCTGAACACAGCCAGATTGTCTGCCTTCCCAGCCAGACAGGTTTTTGGGAGCTTTGAGGAGCAGGAGTGCAGCAGCCAAGCCATAAAGGACAAGAGAAATCAGAACCATTGCGCTAGGAGGAGACGGTAAAAGTCATCATGTTGCTTCCCTGCGAGCTGAGCAGTTTCTGCATCTCCCAGGAGCAAGTCAGCCAGAGCTGCCCCCAAAGGCAGCGCTTGGTTAAACAATATCCTATTTTGCACTTGGGAGTTACGTAAGAGAGGTCCCAGTCACACGGGCAGAGGGAAGCAAAGAAAGGGCATTATTCACAGCCTGACATGGATGAACCCAGTTTAACGCATGCACTTGGAAAACACTGCTCTCCCTGTTCAGTAATATTATTTCACATTCCAGTCGTTGTGATAACCTTTCCTTCTCCAGTTACCCCGCTGACTGACTGGGAAGTCGACTAATGCCTCCTCTTGAGATTAGCCAACACACAATTGCAACAGATTTTTCTTTTTTCTTCCTTTCAAGATACCACAGATCCTCGTTTTCCAATAAATAATTTACAAATACATACAATAAAAAGCTAGAGCAATTTAGAAGCAAAGCCCCTCTATTTCACTTTACAGGAAGAGATCACCAATGTAGAGGTTTCTTCCCAGAATTTACCTAATGCTGTCAGACTGCTATAGCACCAATCTGCAGCTGTTCACTCTGATCAGAAAAGGCCTTAGGAAGGGATGTAGAAGCAAGGAGTTGCAGCCATCTATTGCAAATGGCAAGTCATGTCTCTGTATCCCTTTGACATGGCCTCAGCTTTGGGGGGAAAAAAAAAAAATCTAGGGCAAGTCCTAATTTTATCTATGAAAAAACCCTGTATTCTAAAACTCACTTCATACAGATAAAGCAGAGATGATCCTTCCCTGTCAGAAAAACCCACATGTGGTATTACTTCTTTACAGATAAATGCAGGACTGCTAAAGTACCCTGGCAAATCCAGAAAGCAACAAAGCTTCAAATCTGCATGGTAAATTTACAACTAATAGTCAAGTAAATTACAAGACCACAGAGGGATTTTTGATTTTGATATACAGTATCACTCCGGAGAAATTTTCTGAGCTTCTTTTTCATTTACTGTCCTCATTCCCAGTAGCATCCTTGGCACTATCTGCTATGCAACCTCCATGATGTTCAACATACTAGAAACGTCTTAAGTTGCCACAAACGTAAAGAAAAAATTGTATTTGATGGCTTTCCAGGATTCAATCCACCAGAAATAGAATGAAGAAGACCTATTGAGCAGCAAAAACTACATTTTACAAGGGCTAGAAAAGATTCCTTGACTATAATTCAGTTTCCTTGCCTATGCCTGCCACAAAATGGTTGCTGTATTTTAAGCTTCAGCTTTTTTCCATTTGCTTTTTTTTTTTATTGTCCTTTTTGTAAAAGAAACAAACATTTTCAAATGTTCTACCCATATGAATCAAATTCGTGGAAGACAAAACTGCCTTTACACATTGGAATATGGTGTTTCTGAACTATATTACTGCACCTTCTGAGCAGATGTGTACCACCAGAAAGAGAAACATCACTGAACTTGATTTTTTGACTGTATCTAAAAGAATTTTAATGCAAGTATAGGTCTCTGTGAATACCTATTTTTAATTAACCTACAGACTGATTTAAGTGAGGCATTAAGGCTCAGAGGATTTATCCTACCAGTCAGGAACTAAATCTAGCACAGATCCACCCTCCACTTACTTTTTCAACATCTGCTTTTGTAACATTGATGTCAGCATCCATTTTCTCAAAGTATTGCTGCGCTCGATCAGCTTCTTTGCAATCACGTTCAAACCGCCTTTTACTCTAAAAATGAAAAACAGAAGCCTTCATTATGGAAAAGAAACATAATACCAAAATCTACCTGAAACCAATACCTGTCCCTAAACTGATCCACTGTAACAAGTGGCAGATTTTTAGGACTTACTTGTTTACATTTGAATACATTTCCACAGTAAAGAACTTGGAAGTTACCAGAAACACATTTTTTCTGTTCTGGCCTTCAGGTTGTTTAATTCTACCAACATCATTAGCATTTCAATATTTTTCACACTTTGCATCTCTTTCGCTCTTGTAGACCAAATCACTCCCAACAGATAACTCCTCACTGTGCGCAACAAGATCCAGACATTTGCAAGAAGGACTTCTGGTTACTGATATCCCATTTCTTTACCCTCTCCTCCACTTACAGTCTCACTTTTCCTCACATCAATGACAGTTCCAATATATTTACTTTTGAGAAGCAGCACCTTACTCAAGAGATGGCCCCCACCAATTTATTCACGCTGTATGAAGCTATTCTGCTTAGAGCGGCATATCTGAACAGAACCCTTAGGGATTCAGCCCTGCCTAGCACACTTTTCAAGTCATATCAAATGAAATGCTACTCGTGATAGACATAGATCCCACAGAAAGGCAAATGTACTATTAAAACAGACTTTTTCATATCTACCAGTGTATTTAAGATGGGAGGGTGTTAAAAATCCCATTTCTTCAGCTTTTATCCACACACCCTTCTTTTTCCAAATATGTTTGGAATCACCTCTATGAAAACAATGTAAAAATTATTTAAATGTCACATCTGAGGAAGTTTCCACTTACTGCTTCAAGTTGTTTCCAGCAAGTTTCAATATGTTGCTGTGCCTTTCTGCCATCGTGGAAGTGCTGTTTTGAAAAAAGAAAAGAGAAAAAGAAGAAATCGTTTTGAACAACAAAAGAACAAACAGTCAATTATGCTCAAGAAGTTCCAGGAAAAAAAAGCCCAGAAATTATACTGACAGCTGTGTTCTGAAACACTGGTAAACTGAGCAGGTGTATGATGACTATCTAATGGCTCAGCAGGCTGCAGATGTATATTTGCATCAATTATAGTGGTTAGTTGGACGAAGGCTAATTAATCTCTTTAGCAATTCTACCTTGTATTGTTCACTGTATCTCATAATTACTGGTTTCCCATACCACAAAATCTGAAGCACTTCTATTTGAAGAGTATTTCTTTGCTTACTGACTGAACACTAGCTCTAAATTAAAATCTCTCTCTACACGGAATTTACCAAGATGCTCTTGATTGGCACATTCTAACAACCGATGTTGGTCCTGATTTTCATTCAGACTCAACATAAAACCCTTTTCTTCCCAGTAACTGGCTGCGTGTGCGAGGCCAGCTGTTCGTGGCTCTTGAGGGCTATTCAGTTCTTTGGGTCCCTGCAGAAACCTTCCTCTCCCACACCGGGGGTGCGCGTGTGCCCACACCAGAGTGTTAGGGAAGCTTTACATACAAGATGCCAGCTACATTTTAAATGACAAAGAACTTCTCTGGGAGCAAGACTCTTCAAGTTGCTTTACATGACCGTTCCTAGCCCTTACCCTTGCTTTAGGTATGACCCCCTCTATCTTCCGTACGCCTCACTTCTCCTCAGCATAAGTAGTTTGCTGAAGATCATTGCGTAAGCCAATGACCTAGCTCTAAACAGGAATATTAATGCATCCCCCGGGCTGCTAGAAGAGGTTACTCCCCTTAGAAAGCACCTTGCAAGATAAATAATACAGCAAACTACAAACAGGAAGAGAGATGCCTTTCTACTGTATTATATGTACTGGCAATTAAGATATTTTACTCAAATACAGGTATGGTTTTTACAAAGCAGACTTGAAAAATAAAAGCCTGATATTTGCTAGATAATCCCAGTGCAACTCACTAGAATTCTTGCATTCTGAGGCCCACGCATAGGCAGATATTAGATGTATCTTAAGCAACGTGGTATCAACAGTCCGTTAGCGTAGAAAAAATTCCAACTTCAGAACAGTAGTGTGCCACAAACTGCCAAAGTTAAAAAAATGCATCTGCCAGTACTTTATAATTGGCGGCTACTGGGTTTTCTGCATCTTCTTCCACTAGAGCAACTGGTCTTTTCCTCTGGCAGATTTCTGGACCAAATGCGCTAGAGACAGTCCTGAGCTGCCTTTCTGGCTCCACCAGACACGCCAGTAAAAAGCTCCAAAACTCAACTCTCTGTCACACCATGTCCAACAGACTTGTATCGCCTTAAAAATCACAACCACCTTCAACTTGTTTTTGAGCACAGAACACCTCCACACTGCCTCCAGTGCTCTGGCTGCTCTTACCTGTAGTCCCCAAGCCCGGCAGTTAAGGAAGGATGCTCACCATTGAACACAGGGGCAATCTACAGCTTTAACTTCCTGGAGAGTGTTTAACTCTACACAAAAAATTCCCAGAGCAGAAAAGAGGGGCCCAACGTCAGGAAGGTTTTTAATCCTGGGTTCAGCTCTGGCTCTCCTCCTGCCGTGAGCCCTGCTGGCACTCGTGCAGTTCAGAGCCCAGCCTACCACACTGGGCTTCTCCAAAACCTCACTCACCACATTATGACAGTAAAAAAACTAAGACATAACCGTAAAACTGCTGGGGTTTTTTTTTGGTTTTGGTTCCTTTTGTCGATCCCCATTTCCTTTCAACTCCGTCTGTGGCAGACATTGCATCTTCCTCACCGGGGGGCTTGGAAACACTCCTTGTTCCAGGCTTGCTTTTGTAATTAGAATTTAGGAAAACAGTCCCGAGGAGCAACAAAAACAATCCCAAGGAAGATTTGTAATTTAATACTACATTTTTCAACATTTTTGCTAACGAGCATGAAATGCATCAAAGTCTTTGCGGGAAGCTGTAAGTAACGTCACTTGGCTCTCTTCATGCCGCCTTTCCAGACACCCCCAGCCTTGGCTCGTGGGTTCCCCCGTTGCCAGACTCGATCTGGGAGCAGCCACCCTGCCTGGAACCTGGTCCTGACCCACGAACCTCAGGAAAACGACACGCCAGGGCAATTTAACAGAATGCAATATTTGTATATAGGGGCTGAGGGACGTATTTTATAACCCAAATTCCGGTTGTGTTAACGCCACATTTATCCTTGTTAAGAGGGATAACGCTGCACGCGGTAAGAGATGCAATAGGT